CTAAACACACAGCGTTGTGTTTCATATGATGAAATGATGACTAATGGCGGTAGCAAGCAAAATCAAGTCAGATCAGATCGTGAGCAGAACAGAAGACAGAAATAAGATGAACTAATGAACGAATCAAATAATGAACCAATGACCAATGACCAGTGATAACCTGGCGAAGCAACAAATGACGAAATGACTGCAGCGCACCTTTGCACGGCACAGGCACCTGTCGCTTGGCGATCGTGTGGTTTCTGGAAAGAACCTCCATTACGACCGGTTGCTGCTGGCGCATCTCCGTCAGTACTTCCTTGGCCGAGACCTGAACGACACACACACAGAGATAGTCAGCCAGATGATGATGTGCAGGCGACGGTCGGCCGTCAACAGCTGCTTACTTTACACGAATGTAAATCCTCTCGGGCCGTGTCCTGCACCTGCTGGACGTAGTTGTAGACCATCGGCAACGTGATGCATATGGACAGGATAGCGACGACGCTGAAAGCTGCAGCCGTGTATGTAACAAATCGATACGCCTTATCCCGCCCCTCCGATTCCATCGTAGTGCTGATGGTGATGGTGGTGGTGGTGGTGGATGCAGTGGAGGAATACGAACTGAAGAAGATATTCAGTGTTCGTATTTATAGCCAACTACCTGTAAGTTGACATTAAATGACCCACATACCAGAAGAAATGGAGCAAACAAAGAAAATGAACAAAGGCACAAATTAAAACGAAAACCTGTCCTCGGCTGTGTGAAGAGACCTCGCGACGCTCGAACAAGAACTTTCCGTCAAAATGCTCCACCAGAGTGTTATCAATTCATAAACCACTTGCCTGGGTGACAACTCAACCACTTTTTCCCTCAAACGGCATCAAGTATACCGACCGATCAATGCGACAACCTGTTTCGTCTCATTTTGGCCACAGTTAGAACAAAGAGTGTCCGATTTCAAGTCATGTCATCGCGTGAGCGCATTCGGTGCCTACCAGCTCGCCTGCCTGCCTGCCTTCCATAACCATAGCTCCATCGTTCGTTGCTGTCACCGTTGTAGTCATAATCGTCGTCTTCATTTTCGTCTTCGTAGTATTGCTCGGTTTGTTCACTAATTAATAGTACATCGAAATCCGATTGTTCATCATTGAACTCGAGTAGCACAGAGATAGCAGTAGTAACAAGTACAGACGGCATAAGCTTCATGAATAGCTAGTTCTGGAGCGGGCTTCTCTAATGCTGCCTTTCGGTTTGTACCGGCTGCCCAGATTCAAAGTTTCCGCAGGGCACCAGCGCCGCGGTTTTACATCCCATATACGGATCACTGACGAAAACATAATGAAATCTGGATCATGCCGTTTATTTGCTTCTATGTTATTAAGGGTTTGCTGTCTTTGTGTCCGTCGAGTCGAAAAGTTATTCTTAAACACAAGCCTATAGTCGTTTCCCTGGGAGGTTATATACAGTAGCCGGTTCTTAGCCATAAACTGTAAGGCTTGATTTGGAACAGAGCTTCTTGCTGTTCTTCGACTGGTACAAATGCAGTATCGGGGTTTTATACTCAATGCAATCGGGCTGAAACCTGCAACACGGTATTGTAGCATCTCTTGGAGCCGACCGTTACTCTATTCGTCTAAGAACCATTCTTATTCCGGTAGTTCAACTCCTTAACCTTCCGTCAAAATCGTAACCTTTCTGGCCTGAGATGCCGTCTCGTCCAGGTAACGTTATAATCGATCCATGGCAATGGACCAACATAAACGCGTAAATGTCGTATTATATTAAAACGTATAATACTCGAAAGGTTTATACGGTTTATTGCCACTTTGCAAATCTTCTAAACAGTTCGTTGGCGTGTCTCAGGAAACTTTCTCGGGGCTTTCCACCTCGGTTTAGTCTCAGAGAACACGTATCATATCACGTCTTGTATATTACTTCGCAAGTCATAGCATTTTTTGCCGTATGGAGGGAGGCGCCAATGGCAGCATGACGAAATCTTCATCACGTTTCGGCATCTGCATCGTCCAAATAGCAGAAATTCTCACAGAGCCTCACTTCCACTCATCAGGTGTCAAGGTTTGAACCACACAACTTGAACGGTGGTTATTTAGCGGTAATATGGCTTTGGCTCATAAGAAGGATATCTTTCTATAAGTCATACCGACTTATCTAGGCCATATTAACTATCGATCCTGACCAATAGATCAACACAAAGAAAATTGACGACGTGGATCATATCAACAAGATAAAAAATTTACCGGATATTTACCGGGATCAGGTTTCGATTGCAGTTTGCAACCTTCTTCAGCCAAGTCACGATACTCGTCCACTCCTCAACTTTCATACGTTACAATCAGCAGGCGATAGAGTTTCAGTACGGAACTTTGCTCAACTTGATTTTTTTCCGCCCACTGCTTTGTACTTCAACATATAGATATCACCTTGGACAGTATAGACACCGTGGAAAAGTTGCCTCACATAACTTCCAAAACTACAGTACAGGTGTCCAATAAAGTAATTAAACAACATATACAAAAAAATACGTTCAAACCCGTACGATCGAACAGGTCTAAATCATCGCCAGTAAGACAAGCTGAAGCTCCTACTTAAATTCTATTTTCGATACCACGGAGAATCACCCGACAAGGTGTTGTTAGTGATGAGGTGGGGACAGTCGAGGATGACCGAACGTTTTCACTTGAAGAATTTTAGGGCAGTGACTAGTTCAGTTGTTAGACATACTTTATTGTACTAAGCAACGCGTGGACAGCATCGTGCTGATGCGGGAGGGGGCAGCGTAGCATCAGAAGACATCTGTGAGACAGATCGGTCATCTTTTATGAATGTGTTATCTGCGAATGCTGTAAAAACAACAAACGTCAAAGCAAATCTTGCAATTAAATCATCTGTACTGAAATGAACTATTTTCAAATTGAAGTCGACTGATGTTCTCTCTAAATGCAACCCCGACGTCCCAGCAAAAAGAGCAACCAAAAGTCTGAATAAAGGATTGCAGCCAGATGGAAGCAGGAGTGGAGTAAGGGGAGGGGTACCATAAATTCTAGTCATGACGATAAAACAGTAGTCAACGCGGGGATAGTCCAGGATGGGTTATATACACTTCTTTATGTCTTTAAAACGAATTAGTATAGAAAAAGAAAATCACTAGAATAGTCGTCGAACGACGGACTTTGGTCGAGAGGGACACTGTTCTACTTATGTGGAACTGTAGCATAATGAAATAAAACTTTTCACTTAACTGTGCACTACCTTACGAATGGAAGGTGATGACTCATGAACAAGCCTGTTCATGGGTCGTCAGTAACATAATCTCGGGTAAGGGGTCGCGGGTGAAAGCGAATTACGCGTACTGGTATTTTTCTCCGCCATTACGAGCCATTATTTTTCTCTCTGACAAGCTGGCCATCAAATGAACCCAGTTAGCTAATGAGCCCACCAAAATAAGCCACTGGCAAATCTCGGTTTTGCCATTGAGGCAAACCGGCGATCAGAAGTCTATTAAGATTAAGAAGCATGACGAAAAGGCTGAAGAAAACCATTAAGCCTGAAACAGGAGTAAGCCAAAAAGTCCAATAAGCTCTGGGCATAAAATGATGTTTAAATTCTCAGATGGGAGTTAGGTTAATGGAGGTTTGACATGGAAACGTACAACAATACGTGCTAACTTCAATCTAACTTCAGACAGTAACGAAACCACTGATAACTAGAAATCGATTAGCTCAACTTAAGAAATTGATTCGTGCCTCAAAGCGAAAAAACTTGTGACTGATTTATTTCAGTTTTTTTTCGAAATGTAATCTGTAATGCAGGCCAGATATAATCGCAATACTGATCAACTTTAATACCTTGAAATAAAAACACAGTAGAGGTACGTAGCATTTGTTGCAATATTCAGTAATTGCAGTAATTACAGTAATTGCGATAGCCATGAGAATCTGTGAGAAAGCGAACGCGCCGCGAAACGGCGAATATTCGGCAAAAGAGGGTCTAGTTCGGCGTGCTCATTCAGTTATGCCCACGGCCCCAAAGCTCAACGACCTATCTTTATGACCTCAGCCATATCACCTCCTTGACGGGCAAGTAGGTG